GGGAGGCTAAAAAACCATGCTATTAGAAACCAGAATATACTTTCATCTGATGTACTGAGTATTTCATGTCGACTGAAAACGTATCGAACAATTAAAACATATAAGATATTTGGGTTTAGAGATAGTGTACGCAAACTTAACATGGGGTTATCATATACGACATATACGTCTGTAAGCTTTAAGATTCATAACGCAGGAAATTGGCCAAAACATTGCACCAATCTGCTTATTACATAAGCACAATCGAACCATGTACCGATTATGCAATTTCGGTTTGGGCAAACACATCTAAGAAAAATAATATATTGTAAAAAGACTGAAAAAACGTGCAGCAAGAATTACATAAACAAAATTTTGTTAACTATATGCTTTGATGCTATATGACATGCCTCCACCCCCTTCTCGTTAATATAAGGAAATTGAAATGATTTTCAATCGACATGGATATTCAAAACTCAAAACTTTGAACGTTGTTGCACTAAGTAATTGCAACGTGCCACCACTCCAGGGGCGGATTTAGGGTGGGGGGCCGCCCCGGCCCCGGCCCCCTTTTGGAAGGTAAAAAAAAGGGGAAAAAAGGAAAAAAGAAAGAAAAAGAAAAAAATGTTAGCCCACAACGCCTCAAATGTTATTTTCGGGCGTCTAGAACACAAAAATTTCGCGGACCCCCTAAACATTATTGTCTCGATCGGCCCAAATTTCGGCTCCCCCCCTTTCGGCCCCCATTTTAGACATCTCTGGATCCGCCCCTGCACTCTTCACTGTGATTTCCATCTATGTGTTCGAGTGACAATTTTTACATCAGGAATAGGGGCCTAGTAATATATAAGTGACTATTTTTAACAAATTTAAATTATTAATGTGCATTATTACTTAACGATAAATACTATCAATCCAGATTTTTTATTTATGCATTGCTTTAATAGATCTTTTAATAAGGGGCGGGGCCCTTATAGATCGGGGCCCTGGAGGTCGGGGCCCCAGGTTCATAAACTTGCTGAACCTGCTATAATTACGCCACTGACAACACGTTTTCACATTGGCAGATTATTTTTTTAATGTTCACAATTTATACATATATCATTAACAAGACGATTTACAGATTCACCAACAGAAACCGGGTAATATAGTATCAGACGGATCCAAAGATGTCTGAAGGGGTGGGGGTGGGGGCGATCGAGACAACACTACCTTTATGGTCCGGGGGCATGTCCCCGCGAATTATTTGTTTTCTAGACGTCCGAAAATAACCTCTCATGCGTTTTGGGAGACCAATTATTTCTTTTTCTAGTCTTTCTTTTTCTTTTTAAAAACTTTCCAAAAGGGGAGAGGGGGCCGGGCGTCACGGTCGGAACGGTCACCCTCTAAATCCCCCACTGGACGCAGGGTTCCCGGAACGCCGCCTCAGCGGCGAGTGCGAAGCACAACTCAGGCTCAAAAGAAAGTGGAACGTGAAATTTGGATATGGTTTTGTAGTCAGATTTGCGAGAAAAACTTCAGCTACCCGTATTTCTCGACTGAGACGTCAGTAGGAGCTGTAATTTGTATGGCAAGGAAATTGAGCAACCATTCATTCATATTAAGGGAATTTACGCCCAGAAACTTTGTAGTTATTAATATTTTTGTTATGATAGAAAATATTCATTTTTTGGTGACGTCACACTCACGTTAGTTAGCATGCATAC